TAGAACGATACCCTACTTACATCTATACTACAATTGTCAAAAAGAGGGTTTAATTTGTGTGTCAAGTAATTCTCGCATCAAATTTTGGCGCCGTTGCCGGGGATTAGCAAATTTGCTAATCCCTTGGTTCTTTTCTTTTTGTTTAGTTTGTTTTTGTTTTAGTTTCTGACTTAGTTTTGTTTTCTTTGTTTTGTGTTACTCTTGATATTTGATTTAGTTTTGTTTCTTTGATTTCAGATACTAGAGAAGTAAGACATGGATTTTGCTAACATTCAAGCTCAATTGGCGAATCTTACTTCTCAATTGTCATAGATTGCCGGAAGGACCATAATGCAAAGTGTCCCTACATTTGGCATGTCCTATGGGCACGGATATCAAACTCATCAACATCCTCAATTCAATGTGAACGAAGATGCTTGGGGTTATCAAGGCTATGATCAACCAAGCAACAACATGTTTTCCAACGCTTACAATTCGGCTTGGAGAGATCATTCAAATTATATGTGGGGGGAACCTCAACAATTCCAACAAGATGGATATTGGCAGCCATATGAGGAGTTCTATTCAAGACCTATGCAGCCACCACAACATCCCCCACAACAATTCCAATCAAATCAAAGTATGCCCATGAATTATAATGAAATTCTTGAAGGACTAATTTCTGTGGCGCAGGGTTTACGAAAAGAAGAACAATTGCCGCCATCAGAAGAGTTCTATCAGTGGCCATATGAACCGTCACAGCCACCACAACAATCAACCCAATTCAATTCAGGTACGTCCTTGGATAATGATACACTTAATAAGTTACTCACCTCTTTGAATCAGGGAGTAGAAAATCAAAACCAGGAGATGCAAGACCGAGTCAAAAGATTGGACGAATTGGATATGCAAGTTGGGCAGATTGTGGAATTCATGGCACAGATTCGAGATCTAAGTGAACTTTCCAACTCAAACATTGCAAATTCAAAGGCAGAAAGTGAAATCGATGAAGCCATCACCTTGGAAGGTGACATGAAGGATGAAGCTGTCCCAGAACCATCCAAACACAGCCCGAACATGGATGAATTGCTGCTGCAAGCAGAAGAGGAGGAGGACGACCTGGGCAGTTTAGAAGAATTCTTGCTGCAAGCTCCTCAAATCCCTATGTCATCCAACTCAGGTGAGGAAGTTCTAAATTCACTTCATTCTAACATTATTCCACCGAATGTCCTTTGTCCTTGCAGGTTTTTGATTCCAAATATCAAAGAGAGTGAAAAAGACATTGTGGAAGCTCTTCCAAAGGTGCAAAGTGATATCCCAATTCTTGGTGCACCAAAACAAGTTCCCGAGGGTATTGAAACGTTCAAAGAACCTTGCACACCAAGAAAAGGGATTCAAGAAAATGAAGTGGTTGAAGCATATCAAGAATACATCCAAGAGGCTGTGCATGAGACAATCAAGCCCAAAGCAGTTGAGTTTGATGACACGGGACAAGCCACAACCATCATAGTAAACCTGGCCAAGTTCAAAGTCCCGGAAATGTTCACATATGTGGTGTTTGTCATTGAGTTTGTGTCGGAAAAAGAAAGTAAGCCATCTTCTCCAATTTTAATTTTAATTTATACTAACATGTTTCTGATTTTGATGATTCAGGCACCCACTCTTGAATTTAAACCATTGCCGAATCATTTCAAGTATCACCTCCCATTAAAAGATAAATTCCATGCTTTGGAGCCGAGGGGAGTTTAAAGGAAAGATTCGTCCGGCTAAGGACGTTAAATCAAGCGCTTCTTGGGAGGTAACCCAAGCATTCAACGAAGGGAGACTTTGGAATCGCTAACCAAATCAGATTTGAATTCTTACACCCTTATCTTTACTGCTTTCATTTTGTTTTGTTTAGTTAGTTGTGTTATTTGGTTGATTTCTGTGAGTTTGTGTTATTTAGTTTAAGTGTTGGGGAAGGTTAACCAAAGTCTTTTTGACATTGATTTACATATTTTACATTGATTAAAAAAAAACAAAAAAAAAACAAAAAAAAAACAAAAAACAAAAAAATAAAAAAAATAAAAAAATAAAAAATAGAAATAAACATTTTTTTACAATGATGTGTAAACTAATAGCATTCATTGGTCAGGTGGTGCTTCAGTAGTTGGCGGAGCTTCAGCAGTCGGCGGGGCCACGGAAGGAGGAGGTATCGGAGGTTGATCAGTTGGAGCTTCACTACGCGGTGCTGCCCCAGAAGACGAAGGATTTTGAAGGCACCATCGTGCTCGTGAGGACTCTACGAACTCAACCACGCCCATTTTAGGTAAGAAACCCTTCGTTTTCACGTTGAAAACTCGAGGTCCGAGTTTGGCACTATTCATGAACTTTGTGTTGGTTGATTTTTAGGACAATCCAAGCTTATAGTGAGCTTAGTGAGGTCCCAAGGAAGCTCGGAGTGCTTCGTTTGAAGGTTTTGGACGTCGGGATCACTGGATTTGAATTTGGCCGGTTTTCTTGGAATTTCTATGGTGAGATTTCGTAGTTTTTAGAGCTTTAAAGTAGTATAGCGTGAAACTACATGCTTGGGGCTTCATTTTGATATAAAATACAAAGAAAATGGTTGAGAAATGAGGGAAAACAAAGGGATTGAAAAATCCCCAGTTTTTCGGCCACCGGAAAACACAGTCCGGTGAACCAAGGAAGAAGACATGCGTGGGGGGGGGGGGGCGCGTGTACCCGTGTTGCCCTGGCGCGTGGGGGCTCGTGCCACTTCAAAAAAAATTTCTAAAAATTTCTCGACGTCCGTGACGTCTAGTAGGTCGATGTGGTATATTCATATACCCAAATTGAGCACCGTATGAGAAGTTATTTTGAATTGTCGGTTATGTGCATTAATTAATGTTTTTATAGTTGTTTCGTATATAAGTGACACCTATCCCGAGGACGAGCGCATCCAGGGACGTCATGGGGGCTACGACCCATCGACTTACCAGTGAGTGGGCAATTTTGTTTTCGTATATACCTATATACTATTAATTTTCCCAGAAATTGAATTTATATGAAAGTATGTTTTCAATTGCCATGCATGCATATTATGAATAATATGAATTGTTATTGATGCATATATATGTGTAAATTGGTGTTGTGGACGCACAGGTGATTATCATGTGAGTTTTATGTTAATCATGTGAATCATCGATAATGTGAATTGTGTTGAGAGCTCATAGTTTGCACCCTTGGTGTTAGTGCTTATATTATTCACCGCACCGGACGCTCATCTTGGATCCAAGTAGGTGCATGTCGTACAGACCCTGAGAGGGTTTCGACATGCTAGTCGTACAGACCACTAGAGGTGGTTCCGACTAGTAGGTGACCTTAGATTACGCGCGCAGATGATTGATGAGAGAAGCACTAGAGCGTATTATTTCACCATCATAGTCGTACAGACTACTATAAGTAGTTCCGACTTATGTGCAGCGTAGTGCCGTACAGGTCACAGTGGGTGACTCCGGCTGGATGGGATATTGAGCTATAGAATCAGCCGTACATGACCATTGTAGGGTCTCCGGTTGATTTATTATTTCACCTGATTTATATTGATGCATTCATATTATATTTTTTGGCATGGCATGGCATCTTCTTTCTGAAAAGTGGTGAAGGATTGTGAGTTGAGCTTTTGATTATATATATATGTTTATATACTATTTTTCTGGGAAAGTATACAGGTTTTACAGTGAGGGGTTAGAAACGTTTTAAATGAAATGTTTTGGAAAGCTTTGGTTTTACTGACCCACTCAATTTTGTTTTTGCGCCCCTCTAGGTTCTAGCTAGCAGTTGGTGGCTCACGAGGTTCTCTTCGGCTTTCTGACAGACACCCTGCATGTAGGACTCACCTGCGGGTGTTGTAATTTAATTATAGTGTACTTGACTGCACCTAGTACCTACGCTCTGAATTGTGTGTTTTACTATATAACTCACTCTAGCACGCTAGTTGGTTTATACTGTTAGTAGTTGGTTTTTATTCCTTCGTATTTATTATATCCTTTGCTTCCATATCGCACTTTTGGTTACGTCACACTCATGTGACGGCCAACACGCCCTGATTTCTGGGTCGGGGTGTGTCAATTTGGTATCAGAGCCAGGTTGCAGTCCTGTATAATTGTTAATGCTCTAATGATCTTTTGATGTTTTCTGTCAGAATTATGCCGCCTCGTAGGGAGTCACGCCGTGCTTTTGAACCTAATTTCCCTGATATAACTAAGTTAGGGGAAGCGATGGCCCAGGCCTTTCAGAATGCAATCCGCCCCCTCCTCCTCCTCAGATGACACCCCTAGAGACTATGTATAATTTGAAATTGGATCGTTTCATGGGTAATGAAGGTCACGAAGGGGCAAAAAAGTGGCTAGATCATATTGAGATGACTTTTCAGGTGATGCAGAGTCAAGGAAATTTTCCTGCTAATAGATGGGTTGAGACCACTACTTGGTTTTTGGGGCGAGAGCCTGCAGGTTGGTGGAAAAATCAAACTCAGTTTATGTCCCCTGAGATGGCAGCTGATTGGGAAGTATTCAAGGAACATTTTAAGAAAAGATTTGTCCCTCCGGAGTACATTAATCGCAAGAAGCAGGAGTTCACTCGATTGAAGCAAAAGAATATGTCAGCACATGAGTATTATAGGAAGTTTACAGACTTGTCTTGTTATGATCCTGATACAGCTGGTAATCAGGCAGAGATGCCTTACCGTTTTAAGCTGGGAACTAAGAGGAAATGACGGACTTTTGCTAGTGCACTTCCGAAAATAGTAATGATGTGTGGCTCAGAAGGTGGGCTCTAATATGGGCTTGTACCAAAAACATTCAGATCCACAATGTAGCCCAATCATAATTCGTGGTCTGAGCATCCAAGCACAGACAAAAAAAGGTTAGTTTTCTCCATTTCAGAATGACCAAAAAGGGCTTTCGTTGGATTTTTTTAGGCGATAACACCCACCAAAAGTTGAGTAATTCCACACAATAACAAGGGTATTAGTGTCAAGGCAAGCGTAAAATTCTCCGTCGTTTTCCCGAACGCCCGCCTCTCAGATTTCCAGAAAGTCCCCGTGAAGTTGAAGACCGTGAAACATCTTCAACCTCACGCGGCCTCGTAATGGAGAAAGGAAATTCCCACACTGCCCCTAGGCCTCATCCCGACGACCGCATCAAGCTCAACGTCGGCGGCAAGTACTTCGAAACGACGTTAGAAACGATCCAGGCCGGCGGACCCGACTCTCTCTTAGCCGCCCTATCAAACCGCTCCACCGACGACCCGAACCCGGTTTTCATTGACCGGGACCCGGAGATCTTCTCCGTCATCCTCTCTCTTCTCCGATCGAAAGGCCTCCCTTCCGCGGCTCGCCTATTCTCCAAGCAGGAGCTCGCCGATGAAGCCCTCTACTACGGCATCGAGTCGCAGCTTAAGTCGGCGATGTCGCCTCCTCCTCTTTCTGGAATCGACGCATCAATTGTCACCACCGTCCAACCCGCCTACGATGGCTGTCCTTCGGCGATTACCGCAGGCGACGACGGCTCCGTCTGGATCGCCCATGGCGGCCAGATATCCAGCTACGATTGGAAACTCAGCTACGCCGGAACCCTACGTACGCATTTGGAGGACATAACCTCGATTTGCCGTGTGTATCCTGATATTGCCGCTATAGGATCCGAATCCAGCGCAGGACTTCACTTCTACGATTTCTCAGGCGTGCGAAACCTCGGGTCGATCCACTGGACCGACCCGGAAGATCCCAGAATCTTCAAGGCGCGAGTCACCGCCATTGCCGACTCGCCAAGCTCGGTCTTCGCGTCGTTTGATTGCTCCCACAGAGAGAATTGCATCTTCTTGATCGACAAATCGACTCTCAAAATCGTATCAGAGCTGAGCCGGCAACCGGGGAGCTCCGCAAAGAACCTGGCCGTGGGAAAGCTGAGGTGGCTTCCGGAGACGGGACTGATCGTCGGGAGCTCCGTCACGTGCGGCGCCTTTGGTTACTCGGGTTACATCCGATTGTGGGACCCGAGGTCGAATGAGGTGGTTTGGGAGGCGAACGAACCGGGTTCGGGCCGGAGCAGTCGGTTCGGGGATTCGTTCGCCGACGTGGATGCCGACGTTGAGGAGTCGACCCTGTTCAAGTTGTGTTCAAAGTCCGGCGACTTGGCAGTGGCAGACTTGCGTAAATTAGGGGATGATCCGTGGGTATATTTACAAGACAAGAACCCAAGCTTGAGGTACACCGGCGGAGATGGGACGGGTGGAAATAACAATAGTGTGGTGAGGTGTTACAGAAAGCAAGTGTTTGTGGGGAGGGAAGGTGGGTTGGAGGTTTGGTCGAAGGTGGCAGAGGCAGAACGCAGGGTGGAAATAGAAAATGGGGTTTGTGAGGGGTGGTATAGGAGGAATTTTGTTGATAAAGTTGAGGATTCTGAGAGAGGGATTATAAAGAAAATCGAAGGTGGCGGCGATAGGCTGTTTGTTATTAGGGAAGATGTTGAGGGCATTGAGGTGTGGGAAAGCTCTCAATCTTCGGGTGCAATTTCGGTTTTGTGACTCCAAAGGAGAGGCTTTGTAATCTGTGTGATAACACTTCGTTGCTACTATGTTTTGCGTTTCTCGGCATGTTGGTATCTTTGCACATTGTCACAAATTTCGTTTCTTTGCTTCGTTTTAAGAATATTTCGGATGTCTCATTCACCTGGTCTTCACCGATAAGCCAATTGGCCAATTCTAACAAAGCAAACTCAAACCTTTTCCTAATGGGATTCCATGACAAGGGAAGTTAGTATGAAGGAATGTCAACTATGAGCAGTTTGCTTCTCTATGTAGCTATAGCTCTTTGGAAGATTGGAGGCTTTCAGATAGCTTAATCTCGGATGGCTTCAGTTTCCATTGTAACCACTTTCAGATTTTTCCACCATGCCACTCTAAATCATGAAATTTGCTCTGTTTCCGCTTGCTTATTAGTTATCGTCATTGCATTCATTTCATTGCTTGGAGTTTAATTCTGCAGATGCAAGGAGCACTTGTTGCAGACATGTACATCCCTAACCAATTTGCGATGATGGTAAGTAAGCACATTTTCGGACAATGTTATCTGCTTCTTAGTTGAACCCATATTTTAGGTGATTTGTTTCTGAATTCTCCGTGGAATATTTTCTAATGGTTGATTGTTACTTTTATCATCGCATTCCGGTGTTGGAACTTAAATGCCTCTTATAATTTTGTGAGCAGCGGTTGAAACTTAAATCCCTCTTATATTCCATGCCCTCAGGCATGCTATTTTCTATTTGCTTCTGGATAATATTATGGTAATCATTGATGTTGCTTTCCAGTCTCATCGGGTAAGTTCATGTCCCAGAATACAATCCTAGAAATAACTTGTCACTGATTAGTCTCCATTGTACGGTTTATATAACCTGGATCTGTTTGGCACGTAGTTGATATTACACACGGCACAAGTTTGTTATCCCACATAATAAACGTATAAAACTTCATCCTCACTGATAAGGCTCCTAGATTCGTTTTGTTAATTTGTTTTGTGGGTCATTGTCAAATTTATTTACATGGTAGTTGTAACATATTGAAAGACTTTACCACATTGGCTTCTCACACCAGAGGACCAAAACTTGTGTCATGCGAGGGTTAGGGATTTTCGTGAAGGCTACAAGCGCCTGCAATGTATATGAATCCCGAATGCATTGGTTTTTTTATGAAACCTCTCAAGTCTCAAGTAACTTTATGATATACCAGCAAAACATTATGAGTAAATAAATTTATGAAAACTTCTTGCTGCAAGTTTTTTTTTATGGTAAGAATAACATTTTCCTTCTTAAAATGCAGGTGCCCGGTTAATATGTAGTTTGCCAGAAACATTGTTTCTTGAACATGTCAAAACCGGGATCAAGATCAGAAATATACATCTTCAAATCAAAATCAAGAACCCCACACAGTAGGCAGCATCGATTGTACTTTCTGTACAATGTAGAGTTGTTGCTTCACAGGTGGATACTCGGAGGCTAGATGCGGTGAGGAAACAAGATTTTATTGAAAAGATGCTCGAGACCATCCCCATGCGTGTGTTCTAGGCTTCTAGCTGTTCAGAGCACCTTTCCGGTGGTGCCGTCGACGGAAGTGGTGATGTCAGCTTTGCCAGTATTTTCAACAATTAGCTGCATCCCTCTATGAGCAAGTACATGTTTTGCGCTACGTTAGGAACAGGCATGATGAAGCTTTAGGTAGGGCGTTTTGTGACTTGTGAGAGACCATGTGTGCCTCGCTGAGGTAAACTATATGTTTCGGAAAATGGAAATTAAAAAGGGAACTTTAACGAAAAGCTCTCGGTACTGTTCATTTTAACGAAAAATCATATTTTTATACTAAAAACTTAATCATGTTACTATTTACTTTACCCTTTATTTTGTCCTTATCATTAAAATTCAAAGTTTTCAAATCTTTTTCATTAATTTTCCTAATTAAAAAAGCTTGCTTAGCAACGATCAAAATTATTATAAAAGCCAATCCAAATTTGTAAAATATGACACTGGCTTAGTTGGGAAATTTGCTTAGTTCAATCCTAGTCCCGAAAAATGTTATGGGCCGTTGTCAAGAAATAGAGAGTTTGAATTCGAGACGCAGGGAACTAAAAGAGAAATGTCTCATTTAGCACGAGAATTCCACTTGGTACAAAGCTAACAACACTTGATCTTCCTCGCATTTGCAACAACTAGTTTGAGGCTTTTATGGCTAAGAACAAGGAAATTCATTCTAAGAAGAGAAGTGGGACTTACAAGCATGTCAAATTTCAGGAAAATAAAAAACGCCGCTGCAGAAGAATCCAAAGAAGGACTAAAAAGAAGGATACCAGATTAGCTGCAGACATCCCGCCTATATATCCGACTCCACTGACAGCGTCAGCCACGGTTTGCATGTATTTGCAGAATGATCGGCTCCTAAAAAACCACCACAGCGGAGCATAACATAGATTCGCAATGCTTTGTTTGCCAATCTCTTGAGCCAAACCGAGAAGAAGAAACTGTGGAAGCAGCCAGAACATGGTCATGGGAATTGTTTCCTCAGGTTTGTCAATGAAACCGTGGCTCTTCACCACGTCTAACCTTCGGGTCTCCACCTTTGCAGCTGTGATACTATAATCCCAGGGAAGGCAAAGATAACTTTAGAATCTTGTTTTCGTAGCTTTACAAATAATTTCACCAACAGTTGTTACGCAGGAAGGATAATAGTAGGAACTCTGGGCCTCCCAATGTAATGGTTCATGTCGGTTGCTTGTTCCATGAAGAAAGTATTTCCAATAGAAGCAATAACACCTGATGGGACAACGGCCATACATGAGACTATGAAAAACATAACTGCTGGAATACCGCTGCCCAGTATGATAGTAAAAACTCCATTAAGATGGCTAGACTCTCCACTGGGGCGTTTATATGAATATAAACCGCTTGAGAAGATAAGTGTAGATACCACTGTAGATATTGCTCCTATCCCAAACTTAATCAACCAAGACTTCAATAAACCAACTGCTATAACAGCACAAACAGGGACGACCAACAGTAGTGTCGCCAATGAGAAAAGCTGACATGAACGTTTGTAAACCTTTTCTGTCTTGGACATGAAAACCTCTTCTGTTTTGAACTGGTCCTCGCCGAACTGAGGCCAGGAGGACAAGTGAGTCGACTCTCCAATAGCTAATAGAAGCAATGCTGTGTAAAAGAGAATTTTATGGACTGGGCCAATGCACTGGGGCACAAATGAGCTGCAACTCCCTGTTAATACAGCAAGGACTGGTGGTGTTGACATTGTCAAAAGATCAAACCCCTGCATTTGTTAGTTCCAAATAATTATGGTTAATATTCTTCTACTAGCTCCATGAGGATTCATCCTATGCAACACCTTAAAAAAGACTGCAACGAGAGCAAAGTAACACTCTTGTTAGCACATCAAAAAGAAAAAAATGGCAAACTTCTTGAAAAATAGGGCCAGTCCAGAAAATCCAAAGAATTTGTCAAATCCAAAAGGGAAGATCAAAGACATTGAAGAGGAGAAGAAAATCTTTCTCATGTCAAGAAGAAAAAGATACAAGATAAGGCCAAAGTGCCCTCCAAGTTCTAACCGCTCACTAAAAGAACAAGGGCAAAGAAAGGGTATGAAGAAGAGATGATTCATCAAGGTTGTCTACTGTGCGACATGAAAACCTCTTGCATCTCGGTGCGCTGCAAGAGCTGATTCATCAAGGTTATCTGTTGTGTGAGGGCGCTTGTCAACTCTATTACTTGTCGAGATAATTGTTGTTAGCCATTCGAGTTGGAAGAGCTTAGACGGAATACATCTCCTTGAGTAGTGGAAGTGTAATGGACTCCGACCGCGAGATATGAGTTGGGATGTTAAATTTACGGAGAAATTGGGTGAAAATACCTCGGTTTAATCGTCGATCTAGAAATCTGAAGCCGGGATAGTTGAATCGATCTTGGACCAATTGGGATTGCTTGGTGGGCCACGAGAGTGGGTTGGGCCTCGGATTGGACTGCTGGAGTGGGACGGGCAATTGGCGTGGATTGCCCTGCGTATGGTGCGCGTGGGCGCTGGGCCTGCGAGCGCTAGGCTGCTTCTCCTACCGCAGCTGCTTGGGCTTGTGCTGCTGAGGTAGTGGCTCGGGCTAGCTCGCGCTGGGCCTAGCTCGGTTGCCTTGCAGATTGGAAGTTTGCTATATTTGACAGCAACAAGGCCAGATATCATGTTTGCAGCAAGTCTATTGGCTAGGTTTATGCACAATCCTACCAAGAAGCATATGGGGACAGCTAAGAGAGTTCTGAGATACATACAAGGCACTGTGAACTATGGAGTTGTTTATGAGAAGGGCAAAGGAGCAGTGTTAGTTGGTTATTGTGATAGTGATTGGAGTGGAAGTGAAGATGACATGAGGAGTACATCTGGCTATGCATTTAATCTTGGTTCTGGTGTGTTTTCTTGGGCCTCAATCAAACAAAGCAGTGTTGCTCTTTCAACTGCAGAGGCAGAATCCATTAGTGCAGCAGAAGCTACTGCACATGCCATTTGGCTAAGATTTGTACTCTCTGATTTCGGGGAAGAACAAGCAGAACCAACTAAGTTGTTGTGTGATAATACTTCAGCAATTGCCATATCAAAGAATCCAGTTCATCATCACAAAACCAGGCACATTAATCGGAAATTTCATTTTATCCGAGATGCACTTCAAGATGGTGAAATTGACCTGGTATACTGCAAGACTGAAGAACAGGTTGCAGACATCTTCACTAAAGCTTTGGCAAGGGATCGGTTTGAATTACTGAGGACAGCTTTGGGAGTGATTTCAGCACATCGCTTAGAAGGGAGTGTTAGTTTATAAGTGTATATGCTGAAATGTAATAAGAATTCAGCTTTAAATATCAGCCCTTGGATCATAGTCCAAGTGTGCAGCTAAGATGTAATCTTAGATTAAGTAATATCAGCTCTTGCTACATGTGCTTAGTGTGCGTATGAATCAAATAGAGTAGAGTCCTTTCTTCTTCTTCAAGCTTGTCTCTCTCTCTCTCTCTCTAGAAATCTCATTTTCTTTTCTTCAGTATTCATAGATTGTTGATTGAAACTTACATACAAGATCATAGTCTGTATGCTAACAAAAATTCCAGTAAGATAGCTCCAACGTCCACTAGGGGATTTATATGAATATAAACCGATTGAGAAAATAAGTGTAGATACCACGGTAGTTAATGCTCCTGTCCCAAACTTAATCAACCAAGACTTCGAATAACCAACTGCATAAACGGTAACAGCAGGGACGACGAAGGCTAGTGTCACATACGAGAACTGCTGCCATGAACATGACTTGTAATGCTTTTTTGTTGTGAACTGGAACTGGTCCTCTTTGAACCGAGGCAAGGAGGACGAGTGAGTCGACACTCCAATAGCTAATAGAAGCAATGCTGTGTAAAAGAGATTTTTATGGACTAAGCCAATGCACTGGGGCACAAATGAGCTGCAACGGCCTGTTACTACAGCAAGGACAGGTGGTGTTGACATTGTCAAAAGACCAAACCCCTGCATTTGTTAGTTACAAGGTATTAAATATCGATGATATCGGAAATATCGGTAATCCAAAAATATGGAAATTTCGATGGAAATATCAGGATATTATCGATATCGATAAAAATTGAATAAAAACCACGGAAATTGTAAGAAAAACTTGGAATTTTTTATTGAAACTTTGTAGGATGTTTATTTAGTCAATTGTCTATTAGTTTATCATAAAAATTGGAAGGACATGATAGATATAACTGATTTAAGTTGATTATATAACTAGTTGGCAAACATTGTGAGTGTAGAAAGTATGTAGTAATTAATGAAAGAAGTTTAAACACACCAAAATCATTTATATATAATGAATTAGTATAATATTTTACACTTTATACATTGCATAGTAAGATACATGAGTGACTTAGCAAGGTCTAAAATATCGATGATATCGGAAATATCGATAGTCCAAAAAAATATCGGTAGTCCAAAAACACGGAAATTTCGATGAAAATATCGGGATATTATGAATATTTTAGATCATGGTTCCAAATAACTATGGTTAATGTTCTTTTACTAGCTATATACAGTCAAAGTTATTATATTTTTTTTTTAATACAAAAGTTAACAGTGAGGAGCACATGAGGATTCATCATCCTATGCCACACTTAAAAAAGACTGCAAAGAGAGAGCACAAAGTGACATTCTTGTTAGCACATCAAAAACAAACAAACAAAAAAAAAAGCAAATTTCTTGAAAAATGGGGCACTCCAGAAAATCCAAAGAATTTGCCAAATCAAAAGGAGATCAAAGACATTGAAGATGAGAAGAAAATCTTTCTCAAATCCAGAAGATAAAGATACAAACAAGGCCAAAGTGCCCTCTAAGTTCTAACCAATCGCCAAAAGATCAAGGGCAAAGAAAGAGCAGAAAGAAGAGATGACAAGTATGTTCATCCTCTGTTAGCATCTTGAAGTCATGAACAATCGAGGAATTTGGTAATGGGAGTGTTCATGGAGGCCAAATAACAAGTTTCGCAGACCATGAGAAGTTCATTTTCAACAACTTCACAATAAATGGGTGTGTTCAATTAATAATAAAAAAAGGAATCCAATGAACAAAACAACCCGTGAGTTCTAGAGGGTTTGAGTGGTTTTTCGAATTTGGATCCCAACTGGATTTAAATTGTGGTGATTTTACAAATATTCACATCTTAACCATTTATTGTGCATCGTGTGGTCAGAAATTATTTGAGTTTTTTATTTAAAATTAAACACAAATAATACCTAACAAAAACTGACAGCACGATATACGATGAATGGCTCTAGATCCTCCGGAAAGGATCCTCTTCCTGGTTTCTCCTCCATTTTTATTAAATGAGTTTGCTTTCGAACAATCTCTCTTTTCTCTCACTTTCAGACTTAGTTTTCAAACCTAGCACAGCAGCCCCCCAGCCACCGCGTCCTCCATTCTTCCTTCCTCCATCACCATCGTGAATCTCTCCAGATGACACCTCTCTATCTCCCACTCCAGCGCCATCCACAAACCGAGAACTGACCTAAACCAACCCTCCATCGTCGGTTAACCGACATGATCGGTTTACATCCGGCTTGATCGGTTTCGGTTTTCAATTTTAACTCAACCGACTAGGTCGGTTTGGTTTCAGTAATCAACCCAATCCAACCTGCATCCACCCCTATTGAAAAGATAAAAAACATCAAAACAAAACGACGACGTGCAGGTATAAACAAAGCTTCATCTTCTTCGCAGTTTCCAGCGCTCAGCAACAAAAGTTTTCCAGATTCTGTTCTCCACAAAGCGACTTATCCCCGCCTAGCCCTGCTTAATTCCGCCTAAATCCACCCAGCAGCCGCCTAATAAGCTTTCCGACTTTCCTTGACAATTTCGACTAAATTTAGGTGGCACTCCACCGACCAGAGCCAATGTTTAGAACAGTGTTCACATATATTACACAAGTAACAATCAAACATGATTTTTTTTAATCGGAAAATACTTACACAGATGAAGGCAAATCTGGAGAGCCATAACATGAAATAGCTACCCCTAAAACAATCTGCTATACGTGTCGTGATTGCAATTCTATGTTTACTTCTTGCTTTTAAATTAAATAAATAAAAAGAGAATTAAAGAACATAAATAAACGGAAGTGTGCAGAAGGGAAACGAAAGTGTCCCCTAATCATTTCCCAACAAGTAGTGAGTACTCGAAAGGATATGTAGGTCTGCTTACCACAGCACGTCAACCTAGATGGTTTCCTTCCTGACGAGGGGGAGGGGAGTGGCTCGGTCCCCATTTCTGACGAGGGGGAGGGAAGTAGCTCGGAGGGTGGTGGCTCGATTTCCAAGGGGAATGGCTCTGTTTTAGTGTCTGACGAGGAGGAGTGGAGTGGCTCGTTTTCCATTTCTAACGAGCGAGAGCGGGAGGGTAGTGGCCCGGTTTCCATTTCTGACGAGGGAGGAGGGAGCGGGCTGAGGGAAGCCCGTACAGTAAAGAAAAGAGAAATGGAAAACGGAGCACAGAGATCAATCCAGACTCCGAACTATGCAACAAAAACTTCCTTCAATCTTCCTTTTCTGGTTGAAGAAAACTCTTGTATATATAGTCCAAAACATCTAATATGATATAGGAATTCCATTGACTATACACTAAGTCAGGTGTATTCAATTGGGATTTTGAGGGATTTTAATTCTTTTAATGAATCTAGGGGTATTCAATCAGAATTGTAAGTGATTCTCTTAAATTCAAGGTGTATTCAATTAGAATTTTAAGATAGTTGATTAAAATCCTTAGAAATCCAGGTGTATTCAATTAGGATTTTAAAGAAGTTTATAACATTCTAAGTGTATTTAATTAGAAATTGATTTTAAAGAATTTGAGAAAGTTGAGGAATTAAAGAGAATTAGAGAGATTTTGTAATGTATTTTAAGCATCCATAAATCTCACCTTTCCCCACGAGATTTCGAAGGAATTGAATCAAAATTTTATATGGAATCTCCACAAATCAATTAAACTCTATAAAAATCCATGGATTTATAAATTCATTAAAGTCTCTCAAATTCTCGATTGAATACACCCCCCTAATACTGTACAGAGTCAAAAGAAAGAAAAAGAATAAAAAAGGTAGCCGTTACACAACGAACCAGGATCCTCGCCCGATCCATTCCTAGGGATCCTGCAATCGTGTCCGTTTATTGTATATTATGCGATCAGAAATCATTTAAAATTTAAAATTTAGAATTCAAATATAAATAGTGTCTAACAAAAACTGACCGCACCATATACGTTGAATGAACACAATTGCGGAATCTCCAGGATCCCTGGGGAATGGATCCGGTTAGGATCCTGGTTCGTACACAACAATTAAGCAATAAATCCTTTCTTCTCACTTTCGTGTCAGCTGTTTCCGTCTCTCTCTTTATTTCACCGGCGACCTTGATTAGGGGAAATTTTTCATTGTAATCGGAACAATACATTACATATTTTTTTTATAAATAGTGGAAATTTGTATTTTTTAAGTTATTAACTTTTTAATATACATATTTCACCATTTGTATAGTGACACGTGGTGTACCATCCGTGTTTCGGTCATATTGAAAAATCTCTCATTGACTAGCTACATAAACGGAGGGCATTAATAAATAATTGGTTTTTTAGTCAAAATAGTCCCTGAAATTTTTATAACTCCTCACTTTGGTCTGGGAGATTTGAAATCAATAGAAGTAATCATTGAGATTGTCTACCATCAATCATTTTAGTCTTTGTGTGAAAAATTATGTTAAATAATGATCAAAATAACAAAATTACCCTCAATTTAAAAACAATAAGCCTAAATGATTTGACCAAAATTGAAGGTTTTTTTGTCATTTTATTCTTATTTTATGGAGATTTTTTCACAGAATGACCAAAATGATTGATTGTGGACAAGCTCAGGAACCAATTCTATCTATTTCAAATTTCATGGACCAATTTGAAAAGTTATGCAAATTTCATGAATTATTTTAGTTAAAAAACCTAAATAATTCTTTCTTCCTCTCTCTAGTAGAAATTCATAATTAAATAGTAAATTGTCCAAAAAAAGGTTCGTAAATATCAATCTGTTACATGTATCGGCATAATTTCGACTGTGTTTTGCTTCTCCGGGCATAATGTTTTGCATGTCTCAGCATTCTGGTAGCTTTGCACATTGTCTAAAATTTCGTTTCTTTGCTAGGTTTTATGGATTAATACGTCGGATATCTCATATACCTAGTCTTCACCCTCAACCCAATTACATTGAAAGCAAGTTAGTTTGAAAGAATATCAAGTATGAACAGCTTGTTTTGTGAAGATGTGAAGGTAAAAAAGTCTCTCGGTGAAAGAAAAAATCTTGCAAGGATAGATTGGACTACTTTCTATATTATCAATTAGTTTTCTGATGAAACCCTAACTTTCTTTGCGGTATCTGTTTGAACTTGTACTATCGGCCCGTTTGATTTATGTCGTTGAATGAAAGAAGAACCCCGTTATTACACGTTCGATTGAAGATAATTGTCATTATTTGTAGAATTTTTGGCTGTGAGACAGACAAGTTATGTGGGACTCCGTTTCGAATTACGTTAACACAAGCAGAATTAGGATGGCAATTAGAAAAGGAGTGAGGATCATTTCCGGATTCTCTTTGTGAGGATCCTGAGATCCTCAAATCGTATTTTTTTATCGTACATCGTGCGGTCAGAAATCATTTTAAATATTTTTATTTAAAATTAAACATGAACCGTACCTGACAAATACTGGTCACACGATATATGATGAACGAACACGATTTAAAGATTTTCGAGATTCTCACAAAGAGAATTCAGAGAGAATCCTTATTCTTAGAAACGATGGGATGAGGATCGGCTTGGGGATGGGATAACGATTAGTTTCTATTGGTGACTTAGGTGGCAGCAGGACAAAGTGCTGGTAGGTTTTTGGATTATCATAATTTGAAGGACCTGGATCTCCTCCGGACTAAAAAAATCTTAGCTTAAGGATCAAATAATTCAGGCCGTTGAAATTTGATACAACGGCTACAAACAAGAGCTCCTCTAAAAGTTATAATAATTGTAGCCGTTGGATCAAATTTCAACGGCCCAAATCATTTGATCCTTGGGCTCATATTTTTTGGGTCCGGAGTGGATCCAGGTTCAATTTGAAGTCCACGTGAACAGTTTGGAGGATTTTGATAAAAATGAATGAAGATTCTCTTCGGATTTTTTGGGTGATGATCTTGAGAATCTTTAAATTATATCCGTTTATCGTACATTGTGCAATTAGAAATTATCTTAAATATTTTTATTTAAAATTAAACATATATAGTACATGATAAAAACTGACTGTATAATGTACAATGAACGAACATGATTTGAAACTTCTCAAAATCCTCACAAAGAGAATCCAGAGAGAAGATCCTCAGTCAGAAAAAAATTTTGGGCCAAATTTTTTTCGTGATCCTTGTGGTGATACCTTACTTTTAAATAGACATCTGTGGTGAAAAAGCATTTAATTGTAATCCTATGGTGAAATTCGTTATCAATCATAATCCAAATTGGATTTTTCCTCATTCTTCTGTCATTTATAGGGGCAAAATTGTTATTTTCATTTTTATTGATTCCATCAACCAAGCATAAAGCACCAATAGACATAATTTTTATTTTTATTTTTAAAACTTTTAGAACTACAATAAAAGAATAAATAAACAATAAAATTACAAAGTTCATATTATCAGACTTTCTCATTTTAAGAGAGCCAATAGTCCAAATTCAAGATTTAAAAAATCACAACGTACCTCGCCGCATTTAGGTTAGTATATAAGTTATTATGCAAACATTGAATTTAGTTTCATTTTAAGAAGAACAGTGGTGGACGGGATGGCTAAGGTTTTGTGAGAGAGAGAGCGGGGGAAGGTGGTCGGTGGTTGCTATGGCTGACAAAGGTAGGGATTGGGGAGGATTTTTTTTTTTTCCTTCTATTTTTGTTGATTATAAAAAAAAAAAAGTGGAATTACCAAAAAGAAAAGAAATAAGAATGGAATGACTTTTTTATCCCTGCATGTGGATGAGATTTTGACAGAAATTTTAATTTGGATTACGATTGATAACGAACTTCATCACAGGATTAAAATTAACACTTTTTCATCACATAGATCGATTTAAAAGTAATGTCTCATTACAATTATCAAGAAAAAAATTTAGCCAAAAAATTGAGATGACCATGTGATATGGTCACAAAGTGGTAGACAAACCTATGGAGATGGGGTTTGGCCTATAGACTTTCTAGTTTTGAAAAAGCAAGACATAATTATTACATTCACGTTAGCAGCTATTTTTATGAGATTAGGACTACATTCACATTCACGTGGTCTTTGGCTGGTAAAATGATAAGTATGTGAAAACGATGCAATAAGTGGAATTATTTGAGAGGGTAATGTTAGGGAGAAAATAAATTTTAAATTAAATTTGTAAATAAATGATGTGATTGTAGATGATCGAATTAATAATTAAGTGTCGATTAACGTGTTTATTTTGGTTTAAAATTTGGTATTTCTAACATTATCCTATTTGAAAATATTATTTATGGCATTGTTGACCTTAAAAACTACCAAGTCTACGTGTCGCGCAGACCAAGTAATTTATGAGCTAACTATGTCCTTTGGTTGAATGCGGGGCATGCCAACTCGTCGGCCGAGCTCGACCGAGGAGTAAAATATGATGATGTTGCGTTGGGTACGCGGCTGACTTCTACGTCTTGCGATTGCGGCCAAAGAAGGAACGCGTCTCGGCCTCCTGGGTTTTCAAACATGATGACAAGGCTACTATTCTTACAAAGTTCACAAATCGTCGCCGTCGGATTCGGTCACTGTGATGGTATTCGTCAGAGTAAACTCACGCCGAATCGACACTAAAGTGTAAGGGTACAAATACTCAAAGCGGATATAAGTCTTAACAGTAAACGTGGTTCAACCGTCGAAGTGCCGAACTCTAAATCCCACTTAAGAGTATCCAATCATAAAATAACTCGGCGTGCTATGTGCCGAGCCCAATAAACTGTAACACCTCACTTCGCCGAGAAGGCTGATGAGATGACCTCAACCAACAAGGATTTGGAAATCCTTCTCAACTGAGACTTGGATAGATAACCAGTCACCCCTCGACGCAGTGTTGTCTATGCCGACTGAAGATGCTGTGAGATTGGCTGATTCTACGGCGACAATGTTATTTATGCCAACTGAAGATATCATCGGTTGCCTTCACAATGCTGCTTATGCTAACTGAAGATGTGTCGGCAAAAAAGAAAAGAAAAAATCTCAAGGTTGTTGAGAGAATTTACGCAGGGCAGTTGTGTGTTGAATTGGAGGACTCATCTCGTTGCCATTGCATCTATATTTATAGGACTGAAGTACTTGGCTTGCACGGTCATATAATGTTGCAGAGTCCGACTGTAACTCTACCTCGCAGAATGAAATCTGATCTGTGGCATAGGCTAGCTGACTTTTCAAACAAAATATAAAAACTATCTAGGCTTATCCCATCATGACCAAAGACCTAGCTTA